GAGTAGTGTTTTTGTTTTCAATAAAGAAAAAAAGACCAAAGTTGAATTTTTCACTATTGTAGAACTTTTAAAATTGGGATATTTCATTTATACCCTCAATTTAAAAATCTTAAGCCAATTAGTCCCTAGGGGGCACCTTGTATATATTCTTGGTATCATCTCTTAGAGGGAGTATCTTATTTTTTTTAGGGTATCTAGACTCAATTTCCTTAACATGTAAAATGAAGAAGTTAAATTTATTATCCTTTCCAGTTCAAAAATTTTATAATTTTGGCAGAAATTATTGTGTCTGAGAAATTAGATTTATGCAAAACAAAATGAGTTATTTAAAAATACTGCTAAAGTCCTTTGAAAAAACATCAATTATATTATGATACCTGGAGAAAGATAGAAAACAAAGTCAATACGTTTATTTAGAACAGAACTCATTATCTTATTTCTCAAACTTGGATACTTAGCACCACAATAATGATATAGCTAGTTACTGAATCCTGAAACCAGGTAGTCATCTTAGATTTCTTTCTTTCACTTCTCACTGTTAAGAAGTTATCAGATCCTATTAATTTTAATTCCTAAATATCTTTTGCATTTGACACCTCCTCTTCAACTCCACTGCCACTGTCGTTGCTCAGGTCCTCATGTCTTACCTAGGCTATTAAAAGTGTCTCCCTACTTCAGTCTCATAAGCCCGACCATTCTTCACACTACAAGTTTTCTCCTGAACCTGACCATGCTCAAAATTCTTCAAGATCCCCATCCATAAAGTCTGAAATCCAAACGTCTTTGGAAGGCCTTCATATCTGCTCTTGAAATCTCTAGTGTCATCTCTTGCCATTTTGCCCGCTTGATCCTCACACACCTACACCACAGTTGTTGCACTCAGTTGTACTAATCTCTCTCACAAATCCAATGCCTTTGACTGCCTTTCCTCAGCCAGGAATACTCTTTCCCTATTGACTATCTACCCAAAGCTGTATTCTCTTTTATTCTAGTCTGAAGCTGTAACAAGCATACGACATCTTTTCTGTGAAGCCTCTCCTGACTTTCCAAGCCGCTTCAAACGCCGCTTTCCCTATGTCCTCACAACTTTTTGTAGAAACAACCCTTAAATGATTACACGGCACTATAATTGTTTGCACATCTGTTTTCTTCCAAAGATTGTGAGCTCTTGGAGGGTAGAAATGGATTTTTCACTCTCAGCCTCAGTCTGTTATAGCACTGACAGTTTTCGCAGCATTCCTTAACAATAGCAGAAGCTTAAAGAACATCAACTCCCGGGAGAATTAGAATTCGAGAAAGAATTCTTCCTAGCGACAAGGGAAATCTCGCGAGATGCAGGTCTTGGGAGCCAGGACCGCCCACTCCGGGGACAGTTATTTAGCGGTTAACCGACCGGTCGCCCCGCCCCACTCTTCCCACCGCCCGGGAGGAGCGATTCCCGGCTTCTCTGAGGTTCGGAGGCCGAAGCTCTTAGTTCTTTCTGCTGCCCTCATAGGCAGGAGGTAGCTGCTCGCGTGGGCACCCAGCCCAGGGTTCCCTTTAGTTCTTCAAAGGTAAGGGCAGGTGTGCTGAGTTCCTTTCCTCAGGACGAGAGCTGGGGCCGTGTTGGGCTGCTGGTCCTTCTCAGAGAGGAGGCAGCCCGCCACCACCTTCTTTTCGCTAGTAGGCCAAGAATTTAAGACAGTTCCTCCTGGCGATGTGGCGGAATGTAACAGGCCTGGGGACGGGAATGGGCTTTCTTTTCAGGCTGTCACTGTCATGTCTTCTTCAGGTTTCTGGCTCATCTCCCCTCGCGGCGTGGCGACGGGCGGTGGGGGGTGGGGTGGGAAAACGAGGCGTTTTGCCTTTGACCACCCCCGCAATAAGCCGCGCGGCAGGTGACATTGTAGCAAGGGTCACACTGATCCCCTTATCTAGCAGTGTCGTATAAACGTGACCTTTTTGAAATAAATAGTGTACTAACGAAATATTATGTAAAACTTACCTCCTCTTGCCCCCTCCCCTCCCGGGCAATAGATATTTACAGCTGGAAGAGAGAAAATGGAAAAGCAAAAGGCTTTTAAACTGTTTGTACCACCAAGATTGAGCAGCAGTCAAGTATCTGCAGTGAAACCTCAGACCTTAGGGGGAGATTCTAATTTCTTCAAGGTAAATTTCTATATGACTATTCGTAACTTTAGGTAAATGAGGCAAAGTGTACTTTCTTACTGGTGATATTTTATAATTATTTCTTCTCAGTAAATATGTTCTGATTTACCCAAGAATTTTTTTTCTTTTTTTTTTT